GGGGGGGGGGGGGGGGGGGGGGGGGGGGGGGGGGGGGGGGGGGGGGGGGGGGGGGGGGGGGGGGGGGGGGGGGGGGGGGGGGGGGGGGGGGGGGGGGGGGGGGGGGGGGGGGGGGGGGGGGGGGGGGGCTGGTCACAGATGAGCTGAATCCCTGGGCTTGTGTCGAATGCGCGCTGGCCACAGGAAGGGCTTCGTTTCGGGACACTCGGTGTCTAGTTTCTTAACGACAGAATGAGGAATTAAGAATTAAGGAACACCCTTCAGCCTCAAGTAAATTCGGGCCGTTTCTTCGTGTCTCGCGGCCATCCGTCACAGGGCGGGCGGCGCTGGAATATAAATAACAATAATTAGCGCTGGATCCGCTCCCCTCCCCTTCGCCTTTTTCCCGCTACCCCCCCCCCCCTTCCCTCCACTCATCCTGCCTTCCCTTTTCCCTTCCACTTCCCCCTCTAGTCCATTTTCCCGTTCCTTCTTCTCCCTCTCTCTTCTCCCTTTTCCTTTCCATTCTCCCTCTTTCCCCTTTCCCCACTTCCCTTTTCCTCTCTGCCTCTTCCGCCTTCTCCCCTTCTGTTCCCCTCTCCCTCCCTCCCCCTTTCGCGTCGCGTGCGGGACTCCGTGCGTAAGATGTTAAGTAAAAACAAACGCGCGCCAAATCCCTGATTACTCCTGACTTAAGAGACACTTTGACCACGCGCCATGCAACTAAGGGATAGGGGGCGTCCTCGAGTGTCCGTAAGTATTTTCAACCATTGTGTCACAAGGCGCATAGTCTTTTCTTCCTCCGTACGTACCGAGCTCACACGATAGAAAAAAGAGAGAGAGAAAAAAAATAGAACCTTGATATTTCTCGATGTCGTGCCATTATGAGACTTCAGCTGACAAATGCGTGTGTGCGTGTGCGTGTGCTAGTGCGTGTGAACGTGAGAAAAGGGTGCTGGGCGGGCGGGCGGGGGGGTGGGGGGGAGAAGCACGGGAACTGAATATGACAGCTTAGTGAAAATGACGTCACGCCGAGGCCGTTACCTGTCATGCTGAACGCCGCACTGTTATGAGTCGTAACGTAATACCTGCTTTTGGACTGTTTTCACGCTTCTGTCAGTCCTTGGCTGAGCTAATCGGTTCAATGTTAAATGTATGTATATATATATATATATATGAAAAAGTTATAGTAATCAAAATTATGGTAAATGATAATGATAATGATAATAATAATAATAATGATAATGATAGTAATATGATATGCTAATAATAATACTAATAATATTGATGGTAATAATGATGATAATGATAATAATAATAACAATAACAATAACAATAATGATAATGATACTGATAATGATCATAATGGTGACAGTGATGATAATGATAATGAAGAATTAGATAAATGGATGAATAAGAAGCTCTCCCTTTCGTGCATTCGTCTGTTTCCGCAACACATCAGTGATAATAAACAGGTCTAAAATCATTAGGTCATATAGATACTTTCTTTAAATGTGTCATTGGTCCGCGGATATTCTAAAATAACTT